CAAGAAAGTGGGACAATGGACAGCAGTGTAACAAGAAGATGAGGCCCTTCTTTAGTCTTTCAAGTGCTCCTTTTTGGCAGGATCATGATTTGTATTTTTGTGTAGGAGCTCTAAGGATGAGTAAGATGCTGGAGAACCATAATATGCCCATGGGCCTATCCTTTTCCTTTGCTTAGGAGACACATTTCACTCCCATGAAGAAAGGTTCCCAGCATGAAGTTCAGAGCCTGAGAGAGAAGGTTGGATAGATAGTCAGAGGAAATATGTCCTGACAGAGGTAGGACCCATGGTTACCACCAAACAAGATCTGCTGCTGACACTTGAAAAGAATCTTCTTATATGGAAGGTAATATCAACAGCTAAGATGCCACAATGGGAGGGAAGACCAGAAAATGTGTTTTCTTTTCTTTTTCCTTCCTCCTTTCCTCCCTTCCTCTCCTTTTCTTCTCTCCTTTCTTCCTATCTCCTTCCCTTCTAAGCAATAGAAGCCCATCTTTGAATTGCTAGAGAACTATCATAGACTCAATTGCTGGAGCATACGTAGCTTTCAAAGAAATATTATTTCTATCTCTATTCAAAGACCAGACTACTGAACTGGTGGGTTTTTCTTCCCCCTTTCCCTCTTCTCTCATTTCAGAATGAGGAAAAACAACAACAAAAAACATAGCCAGATAAGCTATGAGTGTCAGAAACAGCCAATGTTGCTTGTGCTCCCTATATTCATTCATTCCCCTTCCTTCCTTCCTTCTCTCCATCCCTCCCTCCCTCCTTCCTTCCTTCCCTCCTTTTTTGTTTCCTCCCTTTCTTGCTTCCTTCTTTTCTTTCTTCCCTTCTTCTGACTTTCACATTAGAGCACTTGCAGTGACTTCTTTCCCAGACTGTAAGCTCTGTAAGGTCAGGTGTTCTGACCGATTTACTCATTACTGTATCCCCAGCACTTAGCCCATGCCTAAATATTTGTTGAATGATTGAATTAATGAGATTTGCTACCATAAGATAAAGATAAAAGATTTGTAAACACAGAGCCAGTGAACATAAATAGTATAAACATTACTTTATAGATCTTTTTTATCTGCAAAGGTTTGATTAGAGGAAAATTTCCTAAAATGTGTTAAAAATATTAGCTCTGAAGAATAAAAATAGACTTTTTGGCAAAATAGGTTGGGGGAACCTATGGAAAAACAGTTTGGGATACTCTATATTATTATACAAGTTTCAAAGAGATCTTTATGATTTACCAGTTTTTCAAGTACAAATTTTCCTTGTGAATTTCTTAGAGAAGGACATAAATTATTTGACTGTGTTATTTTTTTTTTACCTGGCATAGCTTATGGGGATGATATGCCATAAAAAATATTTTGAAAAATTAGCATCTTAATTCAGTTTTTAAAAAATTTTCTTTCTTTTGGATTTAAGTACTAATTTTTTCTACTGTAAAAAATTCCACTTAAATTAACATTACTGAACTATACAGTTAAAAATGGTGAAGGTGGTAAATTTTATTTTATTTTATTTTTTACCACAATTAGAAATACCATTAAGAAACCTCCAAAATATTACTTTACTAAGAAGTAAGAGGAATCAATCTTTTCCCTAATGACTATAGCAACGCAGCCAGAATGAATAATATTGCCAAATAAAGGGCTTGATTTTGGTCTATAATGTTATAAAATTCCATTTACCACCTAGATACTATATCTTCAGGAAGCATCCTGATTTTGAACATATGGCTGTGAATTTCTTGCTTTTAGCAATATAGTTTAGGAGGCCTGAACATACAGACCCATGACTGTGTCTGGTTAGGAGAGTAAGCCTGGGACCGGGAGACAAGAAACTGGGTGATAAAACTGACATTGTCACTCACTCAGCGTACAACCTTGAGTAAACCCTGCTTTCCTTTTCTATAAGAGCCTCAGTCAGTAATTTTTCACCTTTTCCCCTCCAGCATGGGATTTTCATGAGTAAATCTTAATGGAACTCTAATATACACAGCAGATAATAGCAGAGGTACTCTGGTCTCAAGGGGGCAGGAGCCTGCTTGGTTCTTTGCAAGTCTTACTCCTGCTTCTAGGAGTTAAGAAAAGAATGTTTGTGTCCGTTATAAAGCTTGTGAGCCCCTGTAACTTTATACAGACCATACCGTATGCAGCTGTTAAAGAATATTGAACACTGCCACACTACATGTGGTGAGCGCCTTTTGAATTTCAATATATATTTTAGATTAAAAAGTAAGAAAAAATCACCAGAATGCACTCTTCCCTCAGTCACTTTATGTATACATTTTAACATATAAGCTTGATGGCAAGTTAAAATTGAATGCAAATATTATTCCTGAAAAGTTGCCCATTTATATAGTTTTGTTAGACTGTCTTAGATTTTAATGGGAAGGCTTTCCTAATAACAAAAACTGTTAATTACATAAATATGTGTGTTCTTTTCAAAGCCTTACACTATATTATGGATAATAAACAATAGAGAAATAAATACAAAACTGTTATAACAGAAACACTGCTTCTTGAACAGCCTTTAACATTATGACATGTTTACTGGGAAAATGCATTACTCATGACAGGGTTACAAAAGCAATATTAACCTCCTTGAAATGTAACAGCAAAGTCAGATGTAAAAATCAGCACCAGACATGGTAATGTAACTACTTTTGTTAAGATTATACACAGAATAAAGCAGATATTTAAAGCTACATTAAGGTGTAGGTAAGTAAAGGATCCCTTAGAAGAGTCACAACACACATCACAACTAAAATCGTGATGCAGATTGTCCTAAAGATAGCATTCTTGGAGATGAAAACCTTGTGCTTTCTTTTGATTGTTTTTCATTTGGGCACTGCTGCTTTTGCAATTTTGTGCAGGGTGTCAGACATTAAACTTGTCCTTAAAGCAAATTAAAAAAAATAAGATAGACATATCTATCTTTTGGGATAGGCATTTGTTATATTGACAAATTACCAAACACTTTTACTATATCTGATGTGATTAATGAGTCATTGTAATCTATAATCAAAAAGGATGTTTGCTTCTGTAAAAAACAAGAATTTACCCCAAACTAGCTTTTATAATAAGCAAATAACTCCAAAGTAGTGGTTTAAGATGTATGATGAAATACACACTCTAAAATTGTACTTATCATCAAATGCGAGTTAGATTTACAAAATAATTTTTCATCAAATTTATTTTGTTGCTATTGTTTTATTATAAGACCCATAACTTGTCTAGTCATGTAGTATTTGATGTTTAAAAGGGATTCATGTTTTAAAATAACCCTAAAATATTTCATTAAAATCTCTTAGGGAATTTTTCTTATTCTAGAGAATGTTAGCTTGAGGCTTATTTAAAAAATAAAGGTCAAAAGTCAGAAAGGATAATAGCTGATGGTTTTGATAATGCTAATTATATATTACTGAGAATAAACGTAGAAAGGGAAATATGAATACTAAAGAAAGATAAACATCCCAATGCTGGATTTTAAAAAAATAATGAAAAACCCTTAAAATGTCTTTGTACGTCACTGTCATAATTCAAAGACATAAAGAAGCCTGAATTAAAAATGTCAGTTTCTGTGAGTGTTGATAACTTGGTTCTTTGTTGGGCAAGTCAAAATGTGTCTGTTTGATAGGCAAAAATGACAGACTAAAAATGGGAGAAGTAGAATCTAAAAAAAGAAACACACATACACACACAGACACACACACACACACACACACACACACACACACACACGACTTTTAAAAAAGGCCCATAATGTACTTGAAGGAGAAGACCTGTAGGGTAGGAGGCAATATCTTTAGGAAGTCACCAAGCAGCACTAAAAGGCAATGTCCATGGCCAATCAAAACGATTTCTGTGACTGCTGGGGCTCTTGCATCTCTGTCTTTACACTAGACTGGAAACCCTTTGTACTAATTACCAGACTGTACCAGATTTTCTGGTTCAGTTCAATCTTATAATTGACTGACAGTGATGGGCAAGGAGGGGGAAAAATTCAGGCTCACCACTGCAAGCAGAGGGTCAGAAATGGTTTCACAGAGAGCTAGTTACAGGCTAGCACTATAAGCAGGGTTAAGCAAGCATCATCAGCAAGTTCTTCTAATTCCCAGGTTAGAAAGGAAGTTAGGAGGAAAAAACAACAATCCATGGGTGCTCTCATCTTGCAGATCAATCCTTGGTATGTAACCATTTTACAAAACATGAATGGAGAATAGCCTTAAGTGTAAATTGTAATTTTAGATGTCACTAAATTTTAGATGATTTTTATTTTGCTTTTGGGAAAAGATAAAAGTTTGTCTCCCAAACTCAAAAACGGTCATCTTACTTAAGTTAAGGAGACTTTCGTTCTATTTACAGTAAGGAAGAAAACCAATGCTGCTGTTTCATTCCTAGGGCTCAAAAATAATTAAAGTGCAAGGCATATTTAGTCTATGATACATTACATAATCAAAGTTAAGCATTTGAAAGCACTTAACATCAAAATTCTCACATCCTTTACTTATTTGTAATTCACTGATTTAGATTTACTGTGTATCCATAGTTAGTAAAATTGTTACCCATGAATCCCTACTTTTTAAAAGAAAAGATTGAATAATAATCTACATGAACTTAGAGTTAAAGCATTAAAAAAATAGAACACGTTGAGCACTGTATTAAAGACTCATTCGGCTAACTACCATTTGTTATTTACTTAGAACTGTTCTCTACCCACTTTATTTCTAAATTTCTAACCAAAAGAGCAACCATAGCTTTAGCTACACCAAACATTAAAAACGCAGGTGTCAGAATCAGGGTCAAAATGAGAACTCAGGCCATTCGGTAGGCAGGTGAGAATTATGTACTATCATGTTGAGGTCAATTGAATTGAAATTTAATCACAGTTTAAGCCCCTTTTCTTTCCAGGCTAAAGAGTAAGCAACACCTGTGCCAGCAGCAGCTCACATTGCAGTTGACATAGCAGCCAGTTCAATTTTTAGTTACAAGTCAATTACTTACTGGAATAGAAAGAGAACATTTCATTCATTCCATGGATGGCCACTTTTCCGAAGAAACCTGTCAGGCTTTCTTTCTCCAAAAGAAGAAAAGAGAAAAAAAGTGAAAGTTAAAAATAAGTGACGTACTGCAAAGTTTTAGAGCTAGGCCAGCACACTACAGCAGAGAAGTTGTGCAAGTAGCTTACCTTCCAAATACTGAACAGAGCTGTCTTGTAAGTGAGGCCTGTCCCAGCTGATAAGTCCTGGGACATTCCTTATCACAGTATCAAAATTAGGTAAAATTATAATAGGTGATGTACACCTGAGAAGAGCGACCAGCTGACCGTATGAAAGGAAAGAGCAAATGAGTAAAATGTCTTCCCCCAGCTACAGTCAGTCCTGGTGCAAGGGGAGTTTCAAATGCACTGGCTATAGACTTTTGTCCAAAGCTGTGGTTCTTTCTTTTTTTCTTTTCTTTTCTTTTTTTTTCTTTCTTTTCTTCTTTCTTTCTTTTTTTTTCTTTCTTTCTTTTTTTTTTTTTTTTAAAGGAAGCTAGATTAGTTCATACAAAACTCAACAATACAGCACTGAAACCCATTGTTGATATTCAACATTTTTCACATAGCGGAACAGAATAGACAATACGGTATCTAGGAAACCATGGGCTGGATTACAAACTGATGATATCTCATCCTTCTGGGGGCCTGTAATCCTTTTTATTACCTACCACAGTAAAAAAAAAAAAATCACTATGTGTGTGGGGAACTCTCTCAGAATAAATCAATAACATTGCCATTCTTAGGAAAATAGGATAAATTAAAATGAAATCTTGCTTACAGCACTAAGTCCCTAAGTGCCATTTGCCTTTTATGCAAGTTAATGATTTTTTAAACTGTTCTTATCTTAACCTTTATGTAAACTTCCATAGGTTCAAAAAAATAAAATTATCTGTAAATATCTGCTTAAAAACAGTGTTCACAATTAGCTTGGATGTTCTATTTCTCATAGTAAATACTTGAAAAGTTTTTTATTTCCAAGTGTCCAAGATTAGAACCTAAGGCATGAGTACAAAGTAATTTTCATTAATTTGTTTTAAATACATGTGTTGGGTTATTAGTAAACTATATTTATTCCTCCATTAGGAACACAATGAAATTCAAGATTTTCTGGGCTTATTTACCTGATCCAGTTAAATAAATAATTTTTACTTTTAAACTTTTTATTGTCTTTTAAATTTTTCATTTTTAAAATGCATTTCCTGATTATGCATAACCGCAAAGTCATCCTTTACAAGGAAGTTATGCCTATTAACCTTTTTGAAAATCTGGTCCAATCCCTTTTTAAAATGCAATCCAGTTCCCATACTTTTCTTATGCCTCCAAATGGTCTAGGTAGCCACAGAAGTGATTGTTCCTACCAGTTTCTTTTCATCACTTCTGCAATTGACCAATTGACAACTGATTGATGGTTATCTTTTCACTTCAACAATGAAAGAAATTACCATCACTATAGCTATGTACAGTAAATGCCTCCAGAGTAAATTGCATGATTCTAAAATTCTCCTTAGCTCACTTAGTAAAACATCAACACAAAAAAGTTTCTTTTTTGCGCCTCCTTTCCTGTACCACAGATTTGGCCTTTCCTGTCAGCTGCAAAAAAAGAACTTGACAGCTTCTTTAAAAAGAGGAGTATAAAGGAACTTGAATAAAGGATGGCACTGGGCCTGTCTCAAGCAAGTGGCCATTCTTTTGCACTTGGAAAAAAATTAGGCATGTGAGCACAGATAAGCCCTATAAGAATACTCTAAGGAATATTCCTGGTGACCTTGAGATTCTCTTTCCTGCCTTAACCATTCCTGAACATTAGAGAAACAACACAGATTCTGAACATGGAGTTGCCAACTTATTTCGACTAGGATTTTTTTTTATTGAAAGTGAAACATCCTTAAATTTTTTTAATTTCGTTTTTTCTTTAGCGTTGCAAAGACTCCCTTGCTCTTTCTAACAGTGCTCCAAAAAATGCTATTATGCAAGTGTCACATTCATTCATTACATGTTGATGGACAAGAGCTTTAAATTCTACTCCAATCTAAATTTACTATAAATGTATATTTTATTCTTACATGAAAGCCCTGAATCTTGTCAAGGAAAGGTATTCAAATATCTTTTTATCTATCCCTGTGCAATTAAAGTCATTTTTTCTAAGTGAAGTGAATATGCTGCTATAAAAGATTGGGCTGATTTACTGTCTTATTCTCCCATCCCAACTTTAAGATCACTTTTTTTTTTTTTTTTTTTTTGAGATGGATTTTCACCCCGTAGCCCAGGCTGGAGTGCAGTGGTGTGATTTCGGCTCACTGCAACCTCTACCTCCCAGGTTCAAGCAATTCTCTGCCTCAGCCTCCCGAGTAGTTGGGATTATAGGTGCCTGCTACCACACTCAGCTAATTTTTGTATTTTTAGTAGAGATGGGGTTTCACCATCTTGGCCTGGCTAGTCTCGAACTCCTGACCTCGTGATCTGCCCGCCTTGGCCTGCCAAAGTGCTGAGATTGCAGGCATGAGGCACTGGGCCCAGCCTAAGATCACATTTTTAAAGTGAAAAAAAAAAAAAAAAGGAACCTACACACACCTGAGTAGATGAGAAGCTTGATTTTTCACTATTTCCCTTGATGTTTCAGGTCCATAAAATTTGTTCTACTGAATATTTTTTAAAAATGAACTATAGTTTTATGGTCTAGAATTACTTGGCACAGTTAAACTTTTCCCACTTCATCAATATCATTAGGAATAAATAATTCTTATTCACTAATGACACCATCTAAGATGGGCTAGTTTTCCGCTATTTCTGACCTCAGTTATTTAATCAAATAATAAGTTTTTATTAAGTACCAACTTTATGTTTTTTACATGGTAGGCTCTATAGAATGCATGAGAAATATGAGATGAGATTCCGCCCAGCAGAAGTAGATAATTTATTTGTGGAAACAAGATATACTGTGGGAAATAGATAATGAATGAAGATACACATATTATGTAGATACATTTGCCCGAAACATTATTTTCACATACTTGGCATAAAGATGATGCTTAATTTTATTCACTTAAAAATGACTCATAATCTTTCACGTTACCTTTGCAATATTTGTCAGTGATGTTGTTATTCAAATATCCCAGGTGACATTCAGGAAATATCACATTTATATCTATAGTTGATCTCTAAACGCATGCTTATACTCATCTAGCCCTATCACAGGTCATAGCTGCATTAATAAAATTGATTCAACATGCTCTAGTCTACCATCTTTAGCCTCAATCCTTTACGCACAACACGATTTCTGGAATAATCTTACTACAACTCTGCTTTCATCATGTTACATATACCTTGGTTCTAGAAACTGTAATGAGGTTTTTTTTTGTTTTTTTTGTTTTTTGATTTTTTTGCTTATTGCATGAAGTCTAAACTTCCCTGTTCAGTTCCCAGGGCTCTGCAAAATACAGTTTCATGGTAGCACCTCTCTAACATTATTTCCCGTCACCCAGCTTGCTATTTATTAATAATATTTCTTACTATTATATACATCATACATGCCTAGATGCACACCATGACATTTCATCTTTAATCTTTATTCTATGTATTCAAGATCCAAATATACCATAGTAGTACCTTTATGAATCTTGTCCTGCAGTAGTATCCATGTAGATCTATTTCTACATATGTTTTACACTTATTATTATTGTTTTTATTATTATTTGATACTAGGACTTGCTCTGTCACCCAGGCTGGAGTGCAATGGCATGATCATAACTCATTGTAACCTCAAACTCCTATGCTCAAGTGATTACCCTGCCTCAGCCTCCTGAATAGCTAGGACTACAAAGATGTACCACCATGCCTGGCTAATTTTATTTTTATTTATTTATTTTGGTAGAGACAGGTGTCTTGCTATATTTTCCAGGCTAGTCTCAAACTCCTGGCTTCAAGTGATCCTTCCATCTCTGTCTTCCAAAATGCTGGAATTACTTCATTTATTATTGAGTTTGACATACATTTGGCTCAGTTCTAATGCTACCCTCTTACGAAGATTTCCTTATCAAATGAGATAAAATAAATCTGTTCTTCCAGTATACTCAATAGTTCTTGGCATGCATCTTTATTATAACAGTCATAATCTTGAATTGTATTTGCATATTATTTTTCCCAGGCAGAAGTTAAGCCCCATGAGGAAAGGAACTAATCGTATGTATCTTTTTATGTCCATTTATTGACATATAGATGCTCAATTAATGGTTATTTGATAAAGACATGATCCTTGTTCCTGAGAAACTCTCATTTCAGGGAGGAGTTTCTATTAGTTGAGAGATTAAGATGGTAGCTGAGTAGCTAAAACAAAAAGTATTGGCAGTTGGAACAACAATTTGTTTATAAAGTAAATTGAAAATTTAAAGTGAAAATTTAAATGTTTTCATAGTGAAGACTATCTATCTCAAAGCCAATCACTTGGAACATAGACAATAACCATTGATACATAGTTGCATTTTTAGGCTAGTCCAAAAAATGCCTATTTGATCATAACCTAGCTGAGTTGTAGTAACACAGCCATTTATTGAACACTTGGTAGTTTGAAGCACTGTAATAAGTACTAAAAATTATTTCATTTACTTTTCAAGATAACCTCATGAGGTGGGTATTATCATTGCTATTTTACAGATAGGAAACTTGAACTTAGAGAGGTTAACAGTTGCTCGAGGCCATCTAGATGGTGAATGGCAGAGCTGGGATTGGAGCTCAGTTCTGTCTGGCTCTAAGGCTCCCATGTTTTACATTACTCAAAACTGACCCCACTGGTAGAGATCGTGTTAGTCCTTAGTTAATGATTCTGAGGAATCTGTATGTGATGAATATTGGGGAAGAAAGGAAGAAGGAAGACGATTTTCTATTTGTTTCTTCATCGTACAATGAGTCTCAGGTACCATAGTTAAAAATCACTCTTTGTGTATTCTGATTTTTCTTTCTTCACACATATCTTACTGACTCAGATGCCCTTCTCAATATTTCAGGTTCTCATTGTCCTGGTTTTGTTGAAAACTTCTCTGTGGGCCTCTACTTAGACTGTCAATGTTCTTCATATTCCCTTCTTTGCTCCTTCAAAATATCTATTACTTTAGGACATATGGTAATATAAAACCAATCTAGATAAAGTGATTCTTGCCAACATGTCAGTGATGGATGGATGTTGGATTCTTCTTCTTAATAAGCACTTTGAAACAAATGCTTATTCACCTGAGTAAATATGCAAGGATAAACATTTCAAGCCTTGAAGCTATGCGAAGTAAAGCAGGTATTTCTCACAGAAGCCTTAACGTATGAACAGAATGGAGTTTGAAACATATATGATGGTGATGTGTGTGAATGTAAGAAATTGTGTAAGCAGACCAGGCCTCCCTAAGAATCAGCTTCTGGGTGGTGCAGTCACAGATCCTTTGGAGAATATGTTGAAGGCTATGCACTCCCTCCCTGGCTACACATGACCTTTTTGCTTATTATTTTATGGAATTAATGGACTTTTGAGGAAACCATGGGGTAAATCCCTACCCAAGGCTATTGCTTTTCTGAGTGGTATTTCCTTTCCTCTACTTCTAAACATACGTATCTTAACCATGATTGCATATTAGAGTTAGCTGGGGAGCCCATTACCAGATATTTTGATTTAATAGGCCGGTAGTGGGTCCTGAGTAGCAGTAATTTTCAAAAGGCTATCCTAGTGATTCTGTTGTGCAGCTATGTTTAAAAACCGTTTTGTAAGCCAGTGATGCTCAAAGCACTGTCCCTGAAATAGCAGCACCAGCATCACTTGGAAACTTGTTAGAAATACAAATTCTTGGACTCACCACAGACTACCAAATCAGAAAACTCTGGGTATAGAGTCAAGCAACTTGTCTTTTAACAACCCTTTCCGGTAAATTCTGATGAAATCTTAGGTTTGAGGACTGCTGTTCTAAGCGGAGACCTTAGGAACTCTGAGACTCAATGGCAATGGCCTCATACTTGACTGGTTCGCAAGGCTGTGGTCACTTTGTGAATTTGTGGTTGTTTTAATGTATGGATGGCATAAGAGGGATGGCAGCACAGAGGTAATCATTCTTCAACAGGAGATATAAACATGAGAGACATTATAATAGAAAGGGCCATTTAAGCTAGCAGAGTGGATGAATTAGACAATAGCAATTGATTTACCTTTACCTCAATACATGTATTGAGGTAATTGTAACCTGAAACTCCTGTGCTCAGTATGTATTACCTCAATACATACTGAAAGTATGTAGCATGTACAGTGAGAAATAAGCCCAAGTGCAACAATGCAGGGAATACTTACAGTTGGAGACAAGATGGGGAAGAAACAACAGCAGACAGGAGAGAGAAAACTGGCAGAGAGACAGGAAGGAAACCTGAATGAGACAGTGACATAGAAACCTAAAGATAGGCTGGTCAATCTGCAGTTTAAAGTGGGGCCTGAAATTGATTCACTTGATCTTAGAAACTGAAAAGGATTTGGCTAGAACAGGGGTCCCCAACCCCTGGGTCACAGTCTTGTACCAGTCAGCCACACAGCAGGAGGTGGACGGCAGGCAAGTGAAGATCTGTATCTACAGCCACTCCTCATTGCTCACGTTACTGCCTGAGCTCTGCCTCCTGTCAGATCAGTGGCCGAATTAGATTCTCATAACAGCGTGAACCCTATTGTGAACTGCACATGTGAGGGATCTAGGTGGCTCCTTATGAGAATCTAATGCCTGATGATCTGTCACTGTCTCCCACCACCTCCAGATGGGACTGTCTAATTGCAGGAAAACAAGCTCAGGGCTCCCATTGATTCTACATTATGGCACATTGTATAATTGTTTCATTATATATTATAATGTGATAATAATAAAGTGCACAATAAATATAATGCTCTTGAATCATCCCCAAACTATCCCCCTGATCCTGGTCTGTGGAAAAATTATCTTCCACAATACTGGTCCCTGGTGCCAAAAAGGTTGGGACCACAGGGCTAGAAGGAAGTCATTGATAGCTTTTGAGGAATTTAATAGTGGGATATAGGTAAAGCCAGATTGCAGGGATTCAGAAGAGAATGGGAAGAGATAGATGAGACTTAGTGGATATAAACAATGTCTTTTAAGGAGTTGGCTGAGAAAGAAGAAAGGAGCAGAGGCTCAGGGAAGCCAATGTAAGTTGGGAGAAGTGTACATATTCTAAGAAATAAAGGAAGAAGCCTTCAGGAGATTGTATTTGTTAAAGAAGGTGGAAGAGGAGCTATCATGAGAACAAAGTCAGGAGTAGAAAAGAAGTGAAAGGAC